CTTTCCGTACTCTATATACGGAAGTTGTCTCAAGTTAATATTGTAACCAAGTTCTCTCTTTCCAACAGTGCCCGGGTGATGGAAGTGCAGATTTTCCCATTAACCTCCTCTGGTTGAGTTTGAGAACTGACCATTATAGAGTCAAGAAGTTTTTGTTGAAGGTCATACTAATACTGTTTGCTTGACTTGTAAACAGTTAATTTTGCTTCCACGTTTTCAGATCATTTCTTCTTTCTTGTATCATATGGTTTTAAATTTTACATTTTTCCCTGGGAGAATCTGCCTTGTATTGCTGGTGATCAGCTTTTATCTTCTAGTTATTGCTCTTTTCGCAAGTTGGTTTGAGGGTCACTTTGCAGAGCTATGATTATTTTATGTTGACATTTGAGAAGCTTACAATACACAGTTTCTTGAACCAATGGTCTTCCTGCCAGTCTACGAAGTCACATGAGTGGGGTACTGTTTGTATAATACTGTACTAGTACTTCAGCATTAGTTTTGAAATATGGAATTCAGAGACGCTGAGGTTGCTGTGGCCCACTAGTTCGTTACCGATTTCAAAGGTAGAGCTGCCAACGATCAGAATATCAGAGTTACCTAGCATTTAAAAGAGGGCAGCATTATCATGCTGCCATCATGTGTCTCATCACAGACACAGACTCATGCCAACAGAAAAATGCCAACATTTATTCAGGTAAATAGGATTCCTATAGCACAAGTGTACACAATACCTTGTAAAAAATGTGGCTATGCATATGTAAGAGAAAAATCAAACTAAGATGTGAGGTTTCAAGAACACGAGAATGTGTCCCACTGTAACAATACTAACAGTATTTGTGTCAGAGCTAAGAAAAAATGAAGATGCTACACTCGTCAAACAAGAAAACACTATATTTAAAGGAAGTGTAAAGATTAATAATTATAATTCTTCAATAAAGTTTTTTTATATGGTGCTTCTTTGCAATACTAAACATAAAAAGGGATAAAAAAAAATCAGAGTCAAGATTTGATACACATTTACCCTCAAGGGAAGGGAGCACGGCATCATAAATGGAAATAAAAAGATAGAAGTGTTTTAGTGTGTTTGTACTGCTAGAAAACTTTGAACAAAAAGCAATGGTTTCACTTACAGTCCTGGATTCTCCTCAATCTCTTTAGCTTTGGCTTTTAGTGAATCATCTAATCTGGTGTTGCACATACTGTAGAAGTGGTTCACAAGCTCCACTCCACCACCAGGAAACATACCATGGGCCATACTTGAGTAGGCTAATGATTCTGCACCTGGATTAAATTAATATGTTGAACATACACCCATTTCCCACATAAAACTGTCTCAGAGAAATATAATTTATAAAAATATTAATAAATATTTCAAGTAACGAAGAAGCTGCTTATTTTTTATTAGCCCAAAACTTATTATCCTAATTCAACCCAAATTGTCAACTGACACATACTGATGATAAAGATAAACAAAGTTTTACCCAAAATAGATAAAAGTTACATGTTGACAAGGAAGCTATAATTCATCTGTAATGGCAGCATATATTTATAGGTTGCATGAAAAAAACAACATTGAATACAATATGAAACACCCATTTCTGAGCGAGCCCCAATGGCACCCTGTTACTGGTCTGTTACTGGTCAGATTAGGCAACACTAGGTACCCATGAAACTCTTATTACCCTACCAGTGAAAAAGAGGCCATGCTATTTCCACTTGCTTCCTCTAAGAGGCAGTAAGCATATGAAGATCAAAAATCAACCCAATACTGAAGTAAACTACCCTAAATGCAATGAAATGAGGCTACAAGGTACTGTAACAATATCAATAAGAGGCTACTGATACTTTCAATAAATGATTTGAAAATTGCTGAACAAAACAAAGTTTTGACAATTATTAAATAAGCAATCCTTATGACTCCATCACTTTCTACAAAGGTTGTAACCATGCACTACTGGGTTGGGTTTGGCTTTTGGCATCCACCCATCATTCTCCAGCCTGATATGAAGCAACATGAAGCCATTAGGAAGAAGGGAGACAGGGCAGGCACAGCTACCGACGTTGAACCCAGGAAGGTGTGTTTCATTACACTCAATACTTTATTTCTGGGCTACCTTCCTCAGTAACTCCTCTTACTTTCTTCTCCATGGTGACAAAAATAAAAGAACCTGCCAACACAAAATAAATATAAAAAAACATGGAAAAGAAGTAAGGCTGGCCCACAAACCAAAAGGAAAGATTTGCTGGCCATCTACCATGCTGTCGAAACGGAAAGAAACTAGAGACTGACTCCCCTCTAAAGGGAGAGAAACCCTGGCCACTGTTACAGTGAAATGAAATGCTAGAGCACATGTGATGTGGAAAGCAACACCACTTTGCGACAAATGTTGAATAGGCTACACCAGGCAAAAAGAGAGAAGGGCAGACTGGCTGTAACTCTTATGTGACCAGGGCTGCCATGTAGTGGCAATCAGGTGCATTACAGTCATTAGAGCATTACAATTTACCCCATGAAAGATATTGTTTGCCTTGCATCCCTAGAGGTGCCTAATTTCCTTCAGGCAGTCGCTTATTTTGTTATATACAGAATACGCTTTCTGGAGGGGAATCCTAAATTTTGTGGATGATCTCTAATATCCAGCTCCCATCAACCGAGTTATAATCTGGTCTTGGCTCCCGGTACGTTATGGAAGGGTCTCAGAGGCCTGATGCGTTAGACTAAGCTACCAAGAGTGTCCTCACTGAAAACATGCTAAAACCTTAAGGTATTCTTACAAGGAATATTTAATTATGAATTAAATATTTAAGTCACAAACTGTAAGTATTATTGCATCATATTCTAAATAACATAACAATTTCTACCTAAATGAACGTAGCAACTTGTAATACACAGTAATGATAAAGAGCACAGCACACAGCCTTATTACCGTGAGCAATAGCATCCTGCGTCCATCCATATGAATGGACGAAAGGAAGGGCAGCTTCAAGAATTTGATGCTTAAGTTGTTCTTCACCATCCTCAGAAGATTCATCATGTACAGGGAAAGATTCTCCTTCTTTTGACCGTGCTGCTTGCTCATTAATCCATAATGAAGTGGAAGATGTTACCCCACGAACATTTCCTGGAAGGAATGTTATGGATAATCACTGAAACTTATTACACATAGTCAACATAATATTTTAACTTCATGTTTGGAAAAAATTAAATAAAAAAAACTCTCCGAACCATTTAATCCCCAACTAATCTGATTAACCTGATTGTCACCCGAGGGTCAGGTGAAGGCAGCCACCTCATATCACATGTGATGCTTCAAGATGAGATCATTGTCTCCGTAAGCTAAGTCAATTACAGTGCCATGTGTTTGGTATCAGAATGTGGCTGTTCTATGAGCTTTGTGCACTACTGTGCCATTGCCATACCACCAGGGGACTTGTGGTATGGATTTATAAAATAATTCCAGAGCTTTGTCAATTGACAAAATCAGTGATCCCAATGGCAATCTGCTCAGATATGAAAAGTGAAACCAACCAGATAAATACAATGCCACCAAATTTTTTTTTTCCAAAATGAGTTTTAGAGATTGCTTTCTAAAGGTCATTCTGGGCTATTTATGCTTTCTGAAGGTCGTTATAAGCTATTTAGGGTAAATTTGCAGCATTTTTCTATTAAAATTACAAAATTGCTTGTGGGAACATTTGGAAAAGACCCCATCATGATAGAGAGTCAATGTTGATAATTCCTGGCTGTGTCTGGTCTTGGAAACAGAAGGCTAATACATATTTCAATAACCAAGTGGCCTTGCTTACAAAGTTGCATGTAGTTCACTTATGCTTTTTTTGTTTTGTTTAGGTGTTAGTTCAGTTTTACTGACAACATTAATAGTTTTAGGTTGACCAATCACTGTGAAGGTAACATTTTACTTCTTGGGTAATCACAAGGAAACTTAAACACAGAAAACAGACAGTTCCCAGTCATTATATATTTTGCTTTAGAGATTTACATGGATTATTCTGGTACCGAGATTTTTAAGTAGGATATTTTTAAAGGTGTTATAATATTAATTTACAGCAATGAAGCAAAATTAAGCTGATGTTAGATTAGTCTCAAGGACCTCAGAAAATGGCACCAACAATCGGTGACCTGATACTGAAGATGAACACTGCAACACATTTATCAATACACTATTACAAAGAAAGGTGGGTATAATACATAATGTACAGTACATGTTTATACCAGTGAAGCTCTTTTAAAAGTGGGTGGTCTAACTGCAGTATATGCACCTGGCCAAACCAATAAAACTGATTTTTAAGAAAAGGCTGAAACTAATGCCACCAAGAGACTTAATCATGGTACAGTTTTTAAGATAGTGAATATTCTTTCAAATCGGACTATTATAACTTTTCAAAAAAATTATTACTATAAATTTATTTTTTATTCCATTTACAAAAACAAAAGGTAACTCCAATGGCCAAGGACTGGCTACCTTATTTTACCAAGATCACTAAAGGAGCAAAAGTTATTTTGAACTTCCATTAACATTTTAACCAACTGCATATATTTATGCATACGTTAGAACTCCCACACATTGTCTTCCCTTATTCAATTAACTCAAAAACTTACTTTTCCTCTTAGTCATCAAATTATTCAATAACCTCATTTCCTTCACCATCATGCACCATATCATTCCTTCTTTCTTTAGATTCTTAGTTCTTTAACATTCTCAATTTATTACCACCTATTAACCCTTTATGGTGGGACCATATTAGGGCTTTTCACTTATATAAAATATACCCTAAATATATCCCCTAAATCATTATAATTATCCCTATATTTTGAGTTTTTAGGGGTGATTTTTCTTGACTTAATTTCAACACATATTGACCTACAACTTTCACATATTCGAGTATGAATGCCAAACAATGTTTATTAAAACATACAATTAAATTAAGGAATTAAAACTACCTTTATTCATTATTGATAACTTCAACTTCAATTATCTCTGAAACTAGAGTTTACACTCTGAGTGGCTTCTAAAATTCCAGTTTTTGACTGATTCTCACCATTTTAACATTTTGTGTGATCAGCTGTCTGTTCTACTATCCTTTTAGAATGGATTTTTCATAAATCCTATACCCTGTACGTTTCGAGTTATAATTTTTTTTGGTCTAAATTTTCTGCATATTTCAATGTCATATTGACGTTCTGCATACGTCAATGTCATATTGCCGATTTTTTTTTTACAGTAAACTATACTGAAAACCTATATTCCAATTTTATGAAACTGAAGATCATATGCTATTCTATGAGAATAGCACCAAATGAACAATTGGTCATAGTTTATATTTTTTTATCCTGATTTGAAAATCTAAAGTTTTTAATATTCAATTTTAAAATTATTTTTGATTCTCTTGTTTTTCAAGTTACGTTGTGATCATTTAGACAATGTTGGAGCATTTGCATTGTATATGTATGTTTTGTGTGGTATAAAGGTTAATTTCTTTCCTTCTTTCACCATGTGCTACTTCTCAAAATACAGTAATTCAGAACTTTTTTTTATGTACAGTACTTAGTTTCCTCCAATAATCCTACAGTAACTAATTGTTTCTCAATATTACTAGTAGTCATACTCATGTAAGAAGCATCCATTGTTTCATTCATAATTAAATTACATGTATGCAATACTTTACAATTTAATTAAGACTTGCTTTGGGTTGCTTATAAATTGTATATTTCTATAAACCATTACAGTATTCTACTTTTAAGAAATATGAATCCAAGCTTCAGCATGCATGTACTGCAAATTTTATGGTTTTACAGCAACAAGCCATCAATACAGAAAAATAAAGATTATGAAATACAATACATTCTTCTACAATGATTTACCTCATGGCTCTTAAATAAGTACTGCTATGCATTTGAGATCATTCAATGTAACAACACAAAAAGTACAAATAACAATCATGATACTGTATCTTACAAATTATTACAGAAAAGTTACCATACAAATTGATGCACATTCTGGTATACTTCCTAAAAATTTGGATAAAAGTTTGGTAAGACCAGATTTAAATATGCAGTACTGCACTGTAAATGAGCGAGAGACTTAAAATGGAGAGCAAGGATGAGAATAACTTCCAATCCTTAACATATTCTTTGCTTTATAATTTAAATAAATACTATAAACAGTAATGTCAATCCACTACTATTTTTCAAATATCTATAAATAGGAAAACATACATTAAAACTTCTAATAATAGCAATTCATCAATTAATGCAGTACTGTACATCTAAATACAGAATTATACAATATTCATAATGGGCATATACATATTCAAATTCTATTTTCTATAGCCTGAATAGCTCTTGCTAGTACACACTGCATCATGTCTAAAGAACAAATAGCTGTCTGAACAATATTTTTTTCTTGATCAGGAAGCATATTAGGTAAAATTGTGCCACCAACACATACATTCATATCCATACATTTTTGTTTGCTAGAATGAGAGCTTAAATCTTTTAGCTTAAGTTCATAATGACCTTTTGATAGGTCAAGTCCCTTCTGAAGCTGAGAAAGATAACCCGTTTTAAGTACTGGTGCCAGTTCTACAATTCCAGTTTTGTTTTCAACATCACGAATAAAAACAAAAATAAGCAGATTTAGGGCAGCCATGATGCAATCACTCCACTCTAACATGTCTGTCTTCTCAGCATCTGGGAGAGAACATGCTATCTGAACAAGGTTGGTTAGTTTTTTCCCAGTAAAATTAGGATCTAATGTTTCTTGACTTAGTGAAAAAGCAATATTTTCCTTTAGTTCTTGTATTACTAAACCTAAAACCCCAGCATGTTTCACTGATAAAAGAAGAGCTTGAATAAGTTTTCTTCGGCCAATGCTGTCAAACTTATGAAAATGTGATTGGAATATCTCTAACGCTGTAGTTCTTAACTCTCGATTATTACAAAATATCATAATTCTAATCAACAATTGAGGAAAAGAAGAATGGGCTCTTGCTTCATGTGATTCGCTAGGTAAGGTTTTTTGTGGCAGTTTATTCAAGAGTACTTTTGCCAGTGTTAACCCTTTGTGAATAGGTATATGTTCTTTTTCCTGCAATAAATTAGCTATGAGAGGCAAGCATTCCAAAAACACATACTGATGAGAGTATACACAAGGCACATAGTCACTAGCCATGTTTTGACCTAGAATACAGTAAAAGAAAGAAGCTATAGAAAGTTGAGAAATTTCATCTTTCTTATCTTGCTCATCTTCTGTCTCTAAAGATTCATCTCCATTTCTTTGTTTGATACCTAGATCTTTATCACTCTCTCTCTCATTTGCTAATATAGTTTTTGAACTACTCCATGTAATATTTGAAAACAATTTAAATACATTGCACAAGAGACTTGCTACCATGTTCACCAAATCACCGCAAGTACGATACAATAGACTCTCTACTTCTCCTTCATTACAATACACATCCAAATATGTGAATGGCTTGTGAAAAAGTTGAAGAAGAAAACTTGACAGATATTCTCTTGAATTAGTTACTTTACCTGTCCATACAAGCTCTTCATTCACTACTTTATTATAGAAAACTAAATAGAAATCTTTAAGCCATTGCACAGCATTGGACACAGCTTGGACCTCTGGGTGAACATCCAAAAGCTTCTTTTCCTTGCCTTCCAAATTATAACCTGTTGGTAGATTCATGACTGCTATACGAGAATAGAGTGTATTAAAAACCCACGAGAAGGTCATTGGACGAGTATTTTTAGATGCTTGACGCAACAGTATTGTTTGAATAGGCTGTAACATAACACGAAACTGAACCTCTGAAGTGTGAATTTCTAATTCTTCCAAGAATACCAGGAGAGCTTCCTTTGCATTTGCAACAGATGCAATGTACACAAGTAATTCTTCTATACATATTTCTCCTTCAGGGTCAAGGTCTTCCTGTAGAAGTTTAGTAATTACCGGTACAAGATCAAGACTATTGTGCAGAAGACACAATTTATATTTTTCTTCTTTTATCTCATTGATGGCAGATTCATAGTTGCCGTCCTTCACATTTTTCCAAATACTGGACCCAAGATCTTCAAGCAATGTTTCCTGAGGGTCACTAATGGTTTCTGTGTTAACAAAACAATCCATTTTTGCTGTATCAATTCTAAAGAGTTTTACAAGCCTTAACGACCATATTATTATGTGACACTACCAGTCACAATAGCAAAGCATCAATTAATAATGATACTGTACTAGATTTCTTACAGCCTTCTGCTTATTCATCTGTTATGTGTTTCTTTGCCACGTTCCAGATTCCTCTTCAGCCTGAAAGCAAGCAGGAAATGTGTCTTCAGTATAAAACTTCTGCTTTTCTTAATAGAAACTTTTCTCTTAGAAAGAAATGGAAAGATTTAAACAAAAAATGCATTACCCTACAATATTTACTTCATACACACTTTAGTACAGTACTAAAAAAAAAAAAAAGGTTCATTTGCTATATAATTTAAAATAAAACTAAAAAGTTGATATACGGTACTACTATATAGAATCAATCAAATACAGTAAATATACTGTATAGAAAATACTCAATTTTATATGGGTAAGCATTCCTTGAGACCCTGTATCAAATCAGATAGCATCAAATTAATGAAAGTTCTTATGTAAAAAATAAGGTGTGTTGCAGGTCCAAGAATTTTACAATGAACAAAATGATAATTGTGTACAGTCAAATGTTAACATTTATTATGACAGTACAGTACATAACATAAATAACTGATTTTATTTACACAGTACAGTACTATACACCATATAGTGACGTCTCACAAAATGGATCAATTAGTTTTGGTGATTTTTAGCAGGAGGCCTTTACACTGCAACATGATAGATGCTACTTTTTTATTCATGTGCCATAATTCTTGTATTGTGATTTATTAATGCAAATGGTAAAATACAGTACATATTTACACACATTTCAATACCAAAAAATAAAACAACAAAATGTCCTATAGTTGTTAACATGCAAATATAAGTGTGAGTAAAGTCAGTGGAGATGTGTTGCAAAGTAGACACAATACAGATACTGTAATGTCTATCTTGGAAGGATAAAGTTGTAGATTCAGCACAAAGGCTTTGGGCAGGGGGCTGACAGCCGAGAGTGGACAGCGCTTCGGATTCGTAGTCCCGAGGTTCCGGGTTTGACCCTGGTGGAGGCGGAAATAAATGGGCAGTTTCTTTCACCTTGATGCCCCTGTTCACCCAGCTGCTACGGGCTGCTTCCTGGGGGTGTGTAACAAAAAAGGAGGCCTGGTCGAGGGCCAGGCTGTGGGGATGCTAAGCCCCGAAATCATCTCAAGATAACCTCAAGATAGGGAAGGCATGGAATACTTCTAAACTTGCATGCAATTATGCTTTCATGAAGTACAGTACAGGTATAAGATATTATCAAGGCATCACAGAATTGGCAGTTTCTTGTGAATAAGCAAGAAAACTATAGCCTAATTCAGATAAAGCTAAAGAAGAATACAAGGGCAAATAGATATGTCTATCAGCACCCCAAAGAGGTATATACACAATAATACTGTCAACGGATTAAAAGCTTCAGCACTTTCTGTCAAAAGATAATGGATGTGAGTTGCCCAGAACAAATGAGCATCAAAAGCTTCAGCAAACAATTTAATGTTATCTTTATAAAGAATCTAAGTACCATAGTGTCAGGGTAGAGTGAAGTATAATACTGTATGTTTTAAGTAAATGTTTTACTAATTGAAAACTTAAAACCATGGTTAACCAATTCAACATATATTAGTAGAAGGTTAGTCAAGGTAAGATAGGGTTGTGTAGAACAGGTCAGGTTGGATTAGATGCTGCTTATTTTGACACAAATTTGTTCTAAACATAAAGTAGTACTGTACTGTATTTCATAATAAATGTGTGAAACAAGTAGACAAGAAAATATAAACAGTTTGCAAGCCAAATCCAAAGTGCAGAGCATTGACCAAAAACCCTCAGCTCCTGGTCTCCCTTCACTGACACACTAGACCACTTGGATACACGTCGCGCCTTACAAGAAATGGTTCACCAATGGATTTTAAAACCTAATCTTACGTAACCCAACAATTTGACCATATCTTGAGAACTCGACCTTTTTTTGGACAGGTACCTTACCTAACCTTCTGGTTACCTTGCAATGATTTTGGGGCTTAGCATCACCGCAGCCCAGTCCTCGTCTTTGCTGGACTGGTCAACCAAGCTGTTGGACAGTCTCCTTCAGTGCTTCCCGGGTTGACCACTTCACTGATGACCGATGCTCAGTCAACCAGGCTGTAAGGTAGCTTACTGCACCAGGATAAGTTGCCATGGATCACATTCAAAACCCTTATATATATATTTAACAATACAGTATATTGAATTCTATATTGAATTGACCCTAAGAATAATGAATTCTTAGGGTCCTGATAGTACTGTCGGGTTCATTCTTGACTCACAATAAAAAATTCTGGGTTCGAATTCTGAACAGGACAGAAATGGTTGGACGCATTTCCTATCACCTAAAGCCTCTGTTCACCTAGGAGTGAGTAGGTATTCAGGAGTTAGTCAGTTTGTTGTGGGGTTGTATCCTGGGCGGGGTCAGTAATTCGACCTGGGGGGGGGGGGAGACCTCAATATAAGCCTAACGCGAATGAATACACTCTGACTGCCTGTCCCCCGACACAATGAATTACACTGTATAATTAATATATTGTTTATTTACATCATATTGTGTTCAGGACCTAAACAGCCTTCCATAGGATGAACTCTCGTCCCATTGCCATGACTATGTTGTGTGGTGGGCTCACCAAGGGGCTAATATGACCCCACGACCCGTCTTCCCATGAGGAGCGTCAAGCACCCGGGAGAGAGAGATGACACAGCTTACCAAGGGGCCTCAAGACGGCCACAAATCTGAGGAACAAATAACTTGGTCGCGTTGTGTTCATCGCCGCCGTCCAGGTGTGCCAACACAATGCTCCCACACAATAACATTACCTCAAACTTCCACTATTTACTTTAGAATTTCATCACGAAAAGACTTAATTAGCAGATAGTTCGTTGAATGTAGATAAATATTTTAGAAAAACTTGTGTTGCTTTTTACAAAGGTGGGTCTGTATAGAGGAATGTGTATAAGAGAGGTTGGCAAGCTTGTGTCTAGGAACAAGATGGCTGGGAGGAGAAACATCAGATGAGATAGGCTTGATTTCCTTGTTCTAATTGCGTCCAATGGCTGTGTCTTGCGGTAAACTGACGCCCAGAGGCTGTCTTGAGGAAAGATGATGAAGAAGGTTAGTTTGTCGCAACTGTTAAGCCGGTCGCCACGCCATGGCAGCAGCTCCGGGAGGAGGACCAGCAGTGCTAATGGTGAGGTTTTGGTCGGGTCTCCCGCCCCTTCCAACACTACCACGTCCTCAGCCTCGTCCCCGACACACCACTCCTCCTCTAACACTCAAGAAAAGACCCCCAAAAAGAAAACCAAAAGTGGTATTCTTCAAACGTTAAAAAAGAAAATCAGTGGCAAGTTGGATACACTTCAAAACTCTAACTCAAGTACTCCCAAAAAGAGTAAAAGTTTTGAAGGTCTATCCAATAGCTTTGGGGACTCCTTCTCACAGTCTATTAGTGAGGAGTCTTCTAGTGATGGCCTGAATGCGAGTGGGGGTCAGCTGCACAAAGGCAAGCATAATAAACGTGCGATCCGTCCCATGCACACTCCTATCACACGACAAAACTCCTCCTCCCATGTATTGACAGATTCTGAGAGTGAAGTGCTTACTAAAACAAGTCATGGAGAATGTGTAAGAGTGTCAGGACACAAAGTAAATGAGTCGGTGTCAACCCCACAAACTCAGATTACTGCAGTGTCATTATACAGTAAAAGTAACTACATATCAGAAAATAATTCTTCGACGGTGTTATCGGAGAAGATAGTACCGAAGGTTAGTGTTGGACTAGACAGGAGTGTTGCCTTACCACAAGTATTGGTTGAAAATGTCAGTGGTAAAGTGGGGCTTTATTCCTCAAAGACTGACACCAGTCAAATATCCAATAACGTGGAACGTAGTGCCATATCGGAAACGTCCTCACCGCAGCCAAATAGAATGTATGGTGAATTATGGGAGTTACAAGACATGAATTTTGATGCCAGCAAAAGAAGTTTAGCCGAGGAACTTTTCAGATTGGCCAAGTTTGGGTGGTACTGGGGACCAATAACCAGAGCAGAAGCAGAGGAGAAATTGATAGATCAACCTGATGGGGCATTTCTTGTTCGTGACTCATCAGATGACAAGTACTTGTTGAGTCTTAGTTTCCGATCTTTCAACAAGACCCTCCACACACGGATTGAACACAGTAATGGTTTGTAACCTCTTTACTTTAACTTGTATCAGAAAAATTGTATTAAATTATTTGCTTTCTGTAGCAGTCAGCTGGTATTTTAAATGGCCATTTATTGCAATAGATGGCTCTAAATTATGGCACGTAGTCTAGTTGTTGATGCTCAACCATCTTCAGTTTGTCGAAACTTAGTGTAGATGTTCATGTATGTTTCAAATGATCTTTGGATCAACACCAGTAAGTTAAGTATCAGGGGGGGTACCTAAGCAATTGGTGATGGCCCCATGTGGAACAAGTATCGCAGAATATGCAGTATCATGTTCTATTAATAGTCACCCATTGTAGGTACAAAAATAATCTAGTGAACTTGCACTTTCAGTGCTGAATCAGATAAATGTGTATTCCAGGATTTTAGAACAGGTAATTTGTTTTAATAGAGAATCTTAGTTATAATGTGTCTCGATAACTATGTTATGGTAAATAGTGAAAACTTGTTTATTGCTTGAGTTATCATGCATCACCTTATAAAAATATTGCTAGAATGTGTATCACTACTTGCACATAGATGAGATATTGAGATTTAAAGTTGATGCCAGAAATTAATCTTAAAATAGTGTTCCATATATGAGCTGAAGTATTTTATCAATAAAAACATCAGTGATTTTTTTCTTGTTATTGCCATGGAAAGAGCTTGTTTTTGCTGCTAGAAATATAATCACATTTGTTTTTTTTTTCGTTTTTGTAAGCTACTGTATCAGTTTAAGTCATAAAAATTTGGTTTGAAAATCTTGTTATGCTTTGCTTCTTGCCTACATAGCTGTACAGTGTTGAACAAACTATACATCAGGAAATGAAGAGACGATGTTTCGGTTCATCCTGGACCATTATCAATTGTGATAATGAGCCAGGCCGGACTGAAACGTCGTTGTTTCTTCATTTTCTTTTGTGTGGTTTGGCAATCACATCTTAACCACATTATTGTGATTCATCGACTGCATAGATGTACTGTATAAAGATATTTTCTGAGTCGGCCCCACCAGTGGTTCCCAGGTGCTTAAGTGCTGGTATTGCTTAGCCTTAGGTTACTGTCAGGTCTCTTGTGATCCATGCTGAGCTCTCCAGATCCAGGACCAATAGGTGAGGTGAGCTTGACAAGGTAGTTGGGGGTTAGGTACAGAACTAAACAGGTAAGATGTTATGAGAGATATGTCAGTTATGTTATTGTGAAGACCTTATTCTTTGCACATTCTTATACTTAATTTGTCCCCCTTTTTTCTCCAAGCCATTTCCATCCCACCCCTTGACAGTAGGAAATGAGATGTTGAAAATTAATAAATGATGAATAATAATATTGCACCACATAAGATCACTGATAATACTTATACTGTATTACAGTATTTTATATTATATAATTTATTTTAAGCACGATTCCAATATGTTTCTTCTAACGAAGAACTTTCATATGGTTAGAATTTTCTAACATTCACAGAGTATTAGAATTTTTACAAGTTCTTACATTCAAGTGCTTAATAACTCTCCAGTTCCAGTGCTGAGTTACAGAATTTACCCAAATTTTAACAAATGAACTATCTTGATCATATACTATACTGATGCACATAAAATTTGCAAAAATACATAGTGTAGTACTTGGCACAAATGTTGGAAAATCTTAAAAATAAACGTGAAAATGAAAACATGCTAATACAATCATAGTCTACTTTTGTAAATACTGTATTGTACTATATAATACATTTTGTAAAAGATTTGGTGTGTAAATACAATACCATATACTGTATTAATATTAATGCAATACAAATAGGACAATAAACGGACATACAATTCTCATTTGTATGTATAATTCCTTCTGTATATGGTAATGTGAATATATATTGAGGCTCTATAATGGAATCGAACCTGTGCCCCTAAACGCCACAGACACTTGACCTCAAAATTTATTTACAGATTCATCATGTTCTTGTGATCTTGTGATTTCATTGTGCATATGATAATGTATTAAATTTTCACTATTGTTCTAGGTTGGTTCAGCTTTTATCCACATCCTGAGCATGAGGGCTATACAAGTTTAGTGGGTCTTATTGATCATTGTATGAGTCATTCTGAGTCTGGAGTGTTTTGTTACTCTCGAGCTCGTGTACCCGGATCACCATCCTTTCCAGTTCGACTCACCAAACCTGTTTCTCGATTCACTCAGGTAAGCAACTTTATATTGTACTTGCACAGTCATAAAGTAAAAGTTACCATGCAAAGCTTTTCTTGATGAGATTAACCACTATCTCTACTAATAATGTATTTAGCAAGTCAGAATTTACCAATCACTAAAAGTTGAACTAGTGGAAGTTGCAGGCAAACCAAATCCTAGAATAATAATAAAAAATTTGACTTCAAGGAAAAGAAGGTAGTTGTACTACTGTATCTTACCTTAAGGGCACCTGACAGCTGGGTAGACAGCGCTTCGGGTTCGTAGTCCTGAGGTTCTGGGTTCGATCCCTGGTGGAGGCAGAGACAAATGGGCAAAATGTTTCTTTCATCCTGATGCCCCTGTTACCTAGCAGTAAATAGGTACCTGGGAGTTAGTCAGCTGCTGCGAGCTGCTTCCTGGGGGGGAGGGGTGTAACAAAAAGGAGGCCTGGTCGAGGACCGGGCTGCAGGGACGCTAAGCCCCGAAATTATCTCAAGATAACCTCATCTCAAGATCTACCTGTAGAGGGTTTCAGGACTACTACTATTCCCTAAACCTGGCCTGGGTCCAGGCTAAACTTGATAACTTGGTCCAACAGGCTGTTGCTTGCAGCTGCCTTTAGGCCCACATATCCACTACAGCCTGGTTGCTCCAGAACTTCTTCTTGAGGTTATCTTGAGATGATTTCGGGGCTTAGCATCCTCGCGTCCCGTTCCTCAACCAGGCCTCAGGTCGATAATAATACCCTTTTCTTGCAAAAACTTACCAAATTGTTTCTTGGAGAAGTCCACCTTTGTTCTGACAATATTTCTAATGCATGCTGGGAGAGTACTGAACAGCCATGCACCTCTGATGTTCAGTGTTCTTTGATTGTGTTTATAGCACCCCTACTCCTCACTGGTTCTATTCTACAATTCCTTCCATATCATTCACTTCAGTATGTTGTTATTCTACTGTGCAAATTTGCAACCTGGCTTGCCAGTATCTTCCATGTACTGTATATATTATTTGGTACCTCATCTCCTTTCCAGAGAGTACATTTTGAGAGCTTTGAGGCGCTCTCAATAATTTAGGCCCTTATTGTGTCTGTGTGTGGCGTATATGCTCTTTATATTCCCTCTATTTCAGAAAATAGAAAAAACTCTGTTTGGGGCTCTCCACTTTATTGTATCCAATCATGGAGACCTCATCTTCAGAAAGACATTTGCTTTGGAGAAAGTTCAATGCTGGTAACTGAAAATCATTCCAGAACTAAGTCAACTCTCATACCAGGAGTGGTTGAGGGCCACCGGGCTAACAACACTGCAAAGCACACATGACAGGACTGATCTCGTTGAAACTTTTAAAAATACTGAATGATTTTGAGGCTATTATCCAGACCACATCTTCAAAAGGTCAAATGTGACACAAACAAGGAGCATCGGTTTCAAGCTCAACAAGCCACAATGCAGGATGGAAAACAGGAGACTCTTTTTCACTCATAGAGCTATAAACCAATGGAACTGCCTACCCACCAAAGCCATAAACACCAAAATGCTGCTGAATTTAAAAATCCAGCTCAATAAAATCATTGGGACAGCTGAGGGGATCTTCAACAAGCCACCAGCTTCCTGTCCTTGTCAAGGTCACTAGAGAAGGAGAGTGGCTCTCGGGTAAATTCAGCTAAAATACTTTATAGCTAATAATAAGTAAGCCTTGTATGTTCTTTGACTTTAGCTTATTTGCTCCTTGTAAACAAAGCTATGAAAGATTTTATTGGAAATAGAGTACAGTACATACAGCAGTCTTCTGAGTATCTGGATCTATTGAGACAATACCTTGTCAATTACATCAGTAATTTTGGTTGTATTGTATACCCTATTAAAAATGTATATTTTTGCACTGACCCCTCAGTAGCACCTTGGAGCTAACAGCACTGGCACCAAAGAGCCACTTGCAAACATCTGGCTTCTGAGACTTTCCTGGCGTTCCAGAAGCCTGGATTGATATCTTTCCCTCTCAAGAAAGTAAGAGGATCATGCTGAGGTGAAAGATTAACCCACTCTAAGGTGAAATATGAAAGTTAAACATGCACACTAGAACTGCTTTAACTTACTCATTCACCACCAGGTGGCTGTCCAGGTCACCCAGGGTTTCAGCCAGCCTTGGCATTCTGTCATTGATGTGGGTAGACCTATGGCTATGGCTTAGGCAAGCATCCGAGGTACAGCCCAATAATAGGTGTTTCATTCCATTCCAGGCTTTATTTTTTTAGTTCTGAAGGAGCTGTAATGGCATGAGGCCAAATACTGTACTGTAACTTGAGGTCCTTAGTCTGCATTTACTTCTATTCCTAATTACCCTTTCTACTCAATTTGCTTTTATATACTGTATATAAATTTTGATTGCGTAATGGAACTCATTTTTTTTTTAAAGCCCTGGGTCATTTTGTATTAAGTCAAAACTATTTTGACTTCATAATGGTTCAGGACAGACTTAAATGCCATAAATTGTTCATGTCTTCAATATATAGGTTTTGTGTTTGTTCCAGTTATTAATCTTGATAATCTTTATTCACTAAGATTTGGTGTTCTGTACAAAAAAAATTAATTCTTACATACAATACATTCATATTGGTACACCTGATATCTATAACTAAATTATTTGGTTTAAGTATTACTGTACAGTAATAAGTTTGATGCATTCTTACAAAGCCACTAACATGTATTGTGCATGATATTGTGACATTAATTTTCTATTTTCTTCTGGAAAATATCATGTATACTTTTGTTTTAATGTTTGTTTAAACGTTTCAGGTGCGATCTTTGCAATACCTATGTCGATTTGTGATTAGACAATATACCCGTGTGGACCACATTCAAGCCTTGCCTCTACCAACACGAATAAAAGGCTACCTAGAAGAGGGACATTACTGACCCAAGTACAGGAATCTCACCAGAGTGGTAGTTCTGGTATTTTATTATTATTATGCATTTTAATGTCATTATTATTGTTAAATTTTTGAAGTGACAATTTTATATTATAAGAAAGTTCTGTGTGATTTTCCTCATCTATGTCAACTTGTAACAATATGAAAGTGTAGTGTGATGCTTTATAGGATATGTTTTGAGTTTATTAAATATTTTTCCTCGTGAACATAGAGATTATATCTTCATATCTTCATATGATACCATGATACTTAGACACTTGGGCCACTATCAGAGGAATACAAAAAGTAAACTTACCAATGATAATGCCATTGACATTCAAAATTTTAAGGCTCCCTTAACGCACATCATTTGGTTATAATGTAAATTCTTACAGCAATATTCGCAAATTGCATATTTACCATACAATTGTTGGAAAGTTTAACCCTTACAGTATTGCCAAATATCCTTTTAATTTTATAAGTTACTATTCTTCTGGTAGCACATGTAATTTTCATCTTTTTGTTTACCAAAGTATGTTTGATTATATTCACTCATTGAAGAATATTACATAATATCCAGCTATTTTTGTTGTCTTCAAGTTTAAAAGTCTGAGTTTCATTTAACTTATTCTCATACTGATGTCGCTTACAAATTCAACTTTGATAAGTTTTATCTTTAAAAGGAGTCCGATGAATTTTTTTATTGATTCTCAAGATTACCTTATTGTAACTTATTTTCCAAAAGTGTTCCACTGTTTCAAACAAAAATTTAATCTTAATATTAAATTTGTCACCTTTTGCATTTTTTATTTTATGAATACTGTACATTCTGACTGAATTTTGTCATGTTTGCTTGTGTATGGAATTTTAATTTAATATTAATGAATAGAGGAAGTTTGATAAATTACCATAATTATGTTTGTTAGGATAAAGTTGGCATTTTGCAATACAGCATTCAACTTGCTTGGATTTAGATCTGACTATTAATGTTTATTAATAATATGATCTCTGCTAAATATTTCTTGTGACCAGCTGCAGGTTGACAAGTCTTAGACATATGCCTTCATCAGTGATATTGTTTAAATGTACATTCGATTTTTCCCAAATATTTGATCTACAATATTTCTTGTAGATATCGGTATACTGTATTAAGTAGGGAGCAGGACTTGCAGTCAGAAGATAGGTCTAAGCACAAATATAAAGAAAATGGGTGCAGTTAAGTCATTGTTAATTTGGGGAGTGACAGAAGGAATTTTTATTTGTTGTCAAAACATGAGGCAGCTGGTGTATGCGTGTTGGAGGGGGGGGGGGAGGGGCAGGCACGTGCATGGTTAAATTTGCAACTAACATTATTTATTCTTAATGTAAACTCTGGTTTTTAGTAAATGTTTTATTTTTTTATGCAATCTAATTTTCAAAATATTAAACTGATAGTTTAATATTTTGATTTTGATTTGTTTAAAACTACAGCTAGTGTTGGTAGCTAAACCCAGTAGACCTGTATCATTATATTGAATATTATAATTAACTTTTTCTAAACTTTTTACTAAAGTAAAATGTGCCATAAAAGATCAAAATAACATATTGTAATGCTATATGAACATTTAGCAATACTGTGCTGTATGAGCTCGGTTATCCCGAAGGTCGCTAAGTCGAATATTTGGGTTATCTGACCAAAATCGTACCGGATAATTTTCTGACAAAACTTCACTGTATTCGTACAGAAATCTGGATAACCAGAGATTTTGCTGGAAAATGCAGACTAGTATAGAGTCTTAAGTCCAGATAATTTTCTGGCAAAACTTTTTCATATCCAGACAGAAATCTGGATAATTGGAGATTAGGTTATATAAATTGTCAAGAACTACACATTTCAAGATCTACAGTGTAAAACAAGAAGTTAAACTACAACAAGGTAAGCTGTTTTAAATTATATTTTTTATTTTGGGTGTGTGTGTGAAAATTCAAATTAAGTTGGTTGTGGTACAAAAAATTGCGAATATGGTCATTATTGGACAATGTTGAAAGAAACAGTTTGGTTATTGCTATACAGAAAATAAATCATGTACCTTCCATACAGACCTATGCCACAGCACACATTCATGTTTGATTTGCATAAACAATAAATCTAATATATTGTGAGTACAGTATGTATGTAGGAAAACAAATGTTATATATATATATACAGTACTGTATATATTATATATATGTCATACCTAGTAGCCAGAACGCACTTCTCAGCCTACTATGCAAGGCCCAATTTGCCTAATAGGCCAAGTGATTTTTTTTATTGTCAATATATTGTTTCCTATTGGTTTATTTTAAATATTATTATATTATATTAATTTAAGAACATAAATTATTGATTTAGTTATCTTAGTTTAGGTTAAGATAGGTTAGGTTAGGTAGGGTTGGTTAGATTCGGTCATATATCTACGTTAGTTTTAACTCAAATGTTAAAAAAAATTAGCTCATACATAATGAAATGAATAGCTTTATCATTTCATAAGAAAAAAATGAGAAAAATATTGAAATTCTGGAAAACTTGGCTTATTAGGCAAATTAAGCCTTGCATAGTAGGCCAAGAACTGCATTCTGGCTACTAGGTACAACACACACACACGCGCACACAGACACACGCACGCACGTGTGCACCCGTGAACAAACTTGAATGGTTCCCAAACCAATATGCAACTGAAAACTCCACACCCCAGAAGGATTCAAAACTAGACAGCCAGGAGCATTATGCATCTTGATGTACCTGGTACCTTAACCGCTAGACCACACTGACTGTACAAAAATGTTGGTAGTCGTGAGACTATTTATCTAACATCCGACAGTGCTCAGTGGTCAACTTGGGCATAGATACATACACATAACTGTATCACTGACGAGTGTAATAGTCAAAATACTGGTGTTGGAAAATGTAATTAAAATTAAATGGGTAGAACACCTGGAGAGAAACGATATAATATCACACAGACAGTATGGTTTTCGATCTGGAAGATCCTGTGTAACCAATTTATTCAGTTTCTATGATCGAGCCACAGAGATTTTACAGGAAAGAGATGTTGGGTTGACTGCATCTATCTGGACCTAAAAACGGCTTTCGACAGAGGTTATAAAGGTTGTATAAAGGTTATATAAGAGGTTGTTCTGGAAACTGAAACATATTGGAGGGGTGATAGGTAAGCTTCTAACATGGATGAAAAATTTTCTAACTGATAGAAAATGAGGTCAGTAATCAGAGGCAATGTATCGGACTGGAGAAATGTCAAGTGGAGTACCACAGGATTCAGTTCTTGCACTGGTAATGTTCATTGTCTACATAAACGATCTACCAGAGTGGAATACTGAATTATATGAACATGTTTGCTGATGATGCTAAGATAATAGGGAAGATAAGTAACTTAGATGATTGTCATACCCTTCAAGAAGACCTGGACAGAATAAGTACCACTTATCAAATGGAATTTAATGTAAATAAATGCCATGTTTTGGAATGTGGAATAGGAGAGCATAGACCCCACAAAACCTATAAATTATGTAATTACCTAAGTGTAGTTAGGTAATTACACTTAGGTAATTACATAATTTATCGGTTTTGTGGGGTCTATGCTCTCTGTGAGATATGTGAGATATCTTTAAAGAAGTCTGATAAAGAAAGAGATCTAGGCATGGTTCTAGATAGAAAACTATCACCTGAGGATCACATTAAGAACGTTGTGCGAGGGGGCCTGTGCTACACTTTCTAACTTCAGAATTGCTTTTAAATACATGGATGGCGAAATACTAAAGAAATTGTTCACGACTTTTGTTAGACCAAAGCTGGAATATGCAGCAGTTGTATGGTGCCCATATCTAAAGAAGCACATCAACAAACTGGAAAAGATGCAAAGACATACCTCTAAGTGGCTCCCAGAACTGAAGGACAAAGGCTATGAGGAGGGTTTAGAGGCATTAAATATGCCAAACAAGAAGATAGAAGAAAAAGAGGTGATATGATCACTATGTACAAAATAGTAACAGGAATTGATAAAATTGATAGGGAAGATTTCCTGAGACCTGGAACTTCAAGAACAAGAGGCCATAGAATTAAATTTAACTAAAGAAAGATGCCAGAGAAATGAAAGAAAATTCACTTTCACAAACAATGGTAAACGATTGGAACAAGTTAGGTGAGAAGGTGGTGGAGGCCAAAACCGTCAGTAATTTCAAAGCGTTTTATGACAAAAGAGTGCTGTGAAGACGGGACACCACGAGCGTAGCTCTCATCCTGTAACTACACTTAGGTAATTACACACTCACACACCTATACTGGTATATACAGTACAATGAAACCCTTATATAAATAACTACAGTATATGAGGGAGACCCAACTCCTTGCATCTGGATATTCACTTCACTTACAAGTTGTTTTCTCTCTCTCTCCCCCCATCTCTCTCTCTTCTCTCCTACCCTCCCTTCTCTATTTCTCCACTCTTTTGAATACAAATACTGTACTTTATATACAGTTTGTTATTTTTGTGCATTATGATAATTCAAATGTCATAATTTTCATACAGTAAAAATAAAATACAAAAATCTAAAATGCTTATAAAGTAAACATTTTATATAAATATTATAATATACTGTGTCAGTCTTGCTTAACCCCTTTCCTCTGATAAGCAAGAACACTTGCTTTAAAAAAGAAATCACTAAGTTTTCTTAGATGCATTGAAACAAAAAAGTACTGTAGTTTCCATGTCCTGTATCATTCATCCAGACTTTTGGCATACAGAACAGGAGTTTGGGCCTGGTAGCTGCAGCATTTGGTGGCAATAGAGTAAAACCTCAAGCACTGTGGTCGTTCTAAACCTGTCAGGAATAATTTGTTATAATTCAATATTTTGGTCACCATTATGAATGATATAATAATGGTAAATTTGAAAAGAGCATTATTTTGTCTACAAGAAACAACACAAATCAATGTAGAAAAAATGGGGAAGTGGCAGAATTTCTTGTTTCTGGAAGAATCCTTCCAGAAAGAAATGACTAATAAAGTCTCCCTTTATTAACTCCCTGAGCTTAACACTTTTTCCACATAAATCTTAAGCTCAATACCACAGGTATCTGATATCTATCTGTCACCTACCTTAAGCCCGGACCAGAATTTGGTTCATTCAATGAGTTGACAGTCGCAAGAGGATCAGGGATCAATCACAAAACTAAGAAAAATCCACCAGAAAACAAAAACACACCAAAATAAGTGACTGCTTGAAATAAATGAGGCACTCCAATGGAAACATGTCAACCAGTCATTTATGTGGGATTAAATAAATACCACACTAGACAATGTCCCAAGTCACCTGGAGTCTTAGTTAGCCTGCCTCCTCACTCAGGAGCTGCCTGTGCAATACAGTACCACAAAACCCCACGAAGAAGAGAATGGGAAGTTACAGTACTGGAAGTTCACCAGAAAAAGTGTTTCATCATATTTCGTGGGGAGACTGTAGACAGAATGACAAGAAAGCTGATCAGAGTGCCAAACATTCATGTATCTTCAGATTAGGGACAAATAGCTGGCTCACTGAACTGAACCTTTATGCAGAGGACCTAGGAGAAGTTGACCTTTAAACAATGCACGAACAGAGCCTTGACCCCAACAGTGTGAGGAGAGCACACACAAAAAAAAATTCATGCTGCAGCTGCCAGATAAAGGAAATAGCTGGAGCCAGTTGGAGATAAAAAAATATCCGAGGTAGCAGGATAAAGAGACAATGACACATCTCTAACCAAACGCCAGTAAGTGAGGCTCTGCCAAGTCCTAAAGAGACGAGGCAGCAATCAGTGTACAGTATTATGAATAAACAAGAATAAAAAAGACAAAATCAACACAAACTGACACAAAGGATACTGAAGAGAGGAACAAATGGAAGGACCACCAGGCCACACCTTCAAATAACCTGCCAAGGTTATTTGGAACTGTTAGCAATTTCAATAGAGGAATTCTCAACTCCCACAAGTATAATTGAGTACTATATATACATTGCACAATGCAGCATCAAATTTGAATATTCACAGGATATACATTTATTATGATGACTAAACCATACCAGAAGATGACTTATCAACTTGATAATGGTCCAGGACAGACTGAAACATCGTCGTCTCCTCATCTTTTGGTGTGTGATTTGGTCATCATATCTTCAGCCACGTTATTGTGACTCATCGTTTGTATACATTTATTATATTACAGTATCAACTTTTTGTTTGCGCCATAAGATAGAGTAATCATATGTAAACATTTGGGTGTGGCACCAAAATTAAATATTAACATTTGTGTGCAGTAAACTGCCACTCACATAAACAGTTCATCTCTCTCCTACACTCCTCCACAACTCTCACCAAATTGTTTAATTTTCTTTTCTGCTCAAAGGACATTTATTTCTTTTTTTTTCTCTTACCCAGCACCATGACTGATGTTGGGACACCATCTTAATAAGAAAAATGGAAATAGAGTGGTGAGAGAATGTGTTGTTTAACAATAAAATCAAATGCTACATACAACAACTACTATACTGTGAAACATTCTTTGGCTATTTGTGTGCATTTTTTATTGTTTGACAAAATTTTTATAAAAATTTGTCTTACTGTATTTGAGTTTGTTTTAAAGATTTTTTTTTACAAACAGCCTTTATAAATATTCTCATGAAAAGTTTGGAGGCTTTGATGGGAGTCACAAAACCTAATAAAGGTACTTAGAGAAATGTTTGGTAAAATATCTGTCACCAAATAAAATTTGGGACAACAGAAACACCACAACATTGATTTTCTTCAATGCCACCAGATTGCAACATCAACCACCCAGAACTTTGGCTAAGGTAAGTTTCCCTTACTATCTTCCTCTGACCTTTGCCCTACGGAAACCAAGTATCTTAATTTATTGGCAAGCTGATATTTTGTTGCTTGTTTAATGGATTTTTTTTTCTCTGCCCTATTGTAGGTCTTAGCACTTCCTTCTTACCTGGGTGGCTATACTGTAATCTAGTGACATTGAAGACGTCAACAAGTGGGGTTTGGGTTTTATTTTGTGCTTGGTTGCTACCAAACTTTTTTGTAGTGTTTTGAGTTTCTGTGACTACCTTTTGGCTCTAGGACAGTTTTTTCTGTCATGGGTTAATCTTCCCCTGCCTCTGTGTGGGGAAACAAGATGCTGGTCCTAGAATTTGGTAGCCTGAGATTGTCACAAGTCTGGTGAGTCGAAAGTAACAATGCTTTTAAACTCATTTATCAATTTGAGTTTGCTTCAAAGTTTTTATATTTTTATTGAAATTTGGTTGAGATTGTGATGAGGTCAGCTGCCTCTGATATGTTTCAGTTAACACACATTCGTTGGTCCAAAAACTGCGTTATCGTGGGGGCCCTTTGAAGGACTAGAAATTTTGCAGATTTTCTGGCATAGTGCTTCTCCTGATAACCTTACCTTGTTTTTTTTTTTTTTTTAAGTGAATGTGGTAGTAATAGTAAAATAATTTAAGTGAGGGAATTGTAGTGTATTTGATCTTTTGCAGTGTATTGATGGTGAATGAACTTAGTAAGTACACCCTGCCAAATTCTTCGGGTGTTCCTGAGTAAGCATAACAGTTTTAGAAATTAGTATTCTGTTCCTTGCTTCTTTGAATTAAAAGCAGATTGCTTCTCTAAATCATTTAGCAATACAGTACTTAGCATGCACTTGGATTTGAAAATACTGTATAAAATTTAGGATTTGTTAACCGTAATATTTTTTCTCAAATCTTTGTTTTTAAAATAGCTCTTATTAGCTTTTGTTTTCACCTAGCAAACTTATGATAAACAAAATTAATTAATACCAGTATGAGGTTCAGAGTGGTGGTGACTGGTGTGTGTTAACAAGGCAGAAAGTAACTTAACGTTAAAAGAAGCATGTGCAAAATTGTTAACAACCATAAGTACTTTGCATTATCCAGTTAAAGTTGTTACTGTAAGGTCTGGACATGCATAGTAGCTGAATTGTATTAGACTTGGTATACCCTATTAAAATGTAGAATGCCACTTGTATTAGCAGAAACATTTCCAAACTTAAGATTTAATCAGATTGGTCAGAATCGTTATAACATGTAGTTTTTGTTGTTGTTTAAAACATTTATCTTTGTAATGTAAGTACTGTACTGTATTTAGTTTTTGTGCCTCTCACTTCTGCAATATCAATGAAAAAGTATACAGTATGACTTGTTAGTGCTCATGTGGTTGCTGATGAGTGCAAAGGCTGCTGTAATTATAGTATTCTTAAATACGTAAGTGTATAATATTCTTTAGATGAAAATAGTAGAGTAAAGCTATGTTTTTGAAGTAGGATTAAGAGTTATAAAAGAATTGCAACTTTATAGATAGGAATAATCAAATATTTTTGGTTACATAATATTTTACAGTACCTGGTTAACTTCTGGGATAAAGTAAATGGATTTATATTAGCCACTTCAAAGTAAAATAAAGCATGGTTTCTGGGATAAATCAGATGCAATATGGTTCTTAGGATAACTCAGATACACTATGGTTCCAGAGATAAATCAGATGCAGTATAGTCCCTTAAATAGATCAGATGCAGTATGGTTCTTGGAATAAATAAGATACACTATGGTTCCTGGGATAAATCAAATGTAATATGGTTCTTGGGATAAATCAGTTGTATTATGGTTCCTGGGGTAAATCTAATTACACTGGTTCCTGTGATATGTTTTCTCGAAAAATGCAAATTATGACAGTTGGGATTAATAAAATGCCTTGTTTCCTAGGATAAATCAGATGAAGTATGACTGTTGAATAAATTTAATGCAACACTCGTCATTATTACCATGTTTGGTGCTTTTGCGAGGTTTAAGAAGCATAGGCCCAGAGAAAATATCATGTGCAGCATTGGGGAAAAAACTAGCATTATGAAAATAAGCTAACTATCCATTCATCTATCTGAATGTTTGTCCAAGGTTGTAGGTCAGATGCTTGGGGCTAGCCTCACCTAACTTTGCAAGGTGAATGACGTGGGGTATGGGATGGACATAGGCTAATTAAGGTTGATCAGGCCCAGTGGAAACCTCAACCCCAACATAATTGGTGAAAGGTGGTTGGTCAAATCCCCAGATTTCTCCACAAGTATGTGAATTCAGTAAAGTATTAAATTTTATGAGAAAGAGAGGGGGGGGGGGGGGGGGAAGAAGAGGTGGGAATATAGAGGGAAGGAAAGAGAGAGAGAGAGGTGGAGAAGGGTAAAGGTGTGAGAGGGGGATATTGGGGAAGAAAATTGGAAAGGGTGGAGATGGGGAAATAGGATTACAGATGAGAGAGGAGGGGAGATTAGGCAAGAAATGAGGGGGTGGGGGAGACTTTGGTGCAACCTGGTATCCATTTATATATATATATATATATATATATATATATATATATATATATATATATATATATGTATATGTGCATATGCATATGCGAACAAGCCTGAATGGTCCCCAGGACAATATGCAACTGAAAACTCACACCCCAGAAGTGACTCGAACCCATACTCCCAGGAGCAACGCAACTGGTATGTACAAGACGCCTTAATCCACTTGACCATCACGACCGGACATAATGAGGTGATAGCCGAGGCTATTTGAACCACCCCACCGCCGGCACTCGGATAGTAATCTTGGGCATAGCATTTTACCAAATCACCTCATTCTTTGGGGCACACGTGAGGAACACAAATGCGAACAAGCCTGAATGGTCCCCAGGACAATATGCAACTGAATATTGTTATATATATGTTATATTGTTATATAACAATATTGTTATATATATATATATATATATATATATATATATATATATATATATATATATATATATATATATATATATATATATATATATATATATATATATATATATATATATGTCGTACCTAGTAGCCAGAACGCACTTCTCGGCCTACTATGCAAGGCCCGATTTGCCTAATAAGCCAAGTTTTCATGAATTAATTGTTTTTCGACTACCTAACCTACCTAACCTAACCTAACCTAACTTTTTCGGCTACCTAACCAAACCTAACCTATAAAGATAGGTTAGGTTAGGTTAGGTAGGGTTGGTTAGGTTCGGTCATATATCTACGTTAATTTTAACTCCAATAAAAAAAAATTGATCTCATACATAATGAAATTGGTAGCTTTATCATTTCATAAGAAAAAAAATAGAAAAAATATATTAATTCAGGAAAACTTGGCTTATTAGGCAAATCGGGCCTTGCATAGTAGGCCAAAAAGTGAGTTCTGGCTACTAGGTACGACATATATATATATATATATATAATAATAATAATAATAATTACTGACACTATATATATATAGTGTCAGTAATTTCAAAGCATTATATGACAAAGAGTGCTGGGAAGACGGGACATCACGAGCGTAGCTCTCGTCCTGTAACTACACTTAGGTAATTACACACTTTTGTGTATGTGTGTGGCATAGAGTGGGAAGGCTGCGTAAAATGCACCTCACGCCACTGGAAGACAGGAGAGCTCAGGGAGACATGATCACAACCTACAAAATTCTAAGAAGAATCAACAGGGTAGATAAAGATAAATTGTTTAACACAGGTGGAAACTGAGTACCCAAATAAACCACAGGGACATTAGGAAGAACCTTTTCAGTGTCAGAGTAGTTAACAGATGGAATGCATTATGCAGTGATGTGGTGGAGGCTGACTCCATACAGTACTTAGTTTCAAATGTAGATATGATAGAGCTCAGTAGGCTCTGGAATCTGTACGCCAGTTGATTGACAGTTTAGAGGTGGGACTAAATAGCCAGAGCTCAAGCCCCGCAAGCACAACTAGGTGAGTGTGCATAAACGTGTGTGTGCGCACACATATTTAGGTTTTATATATATATATATATATATATATATATATTATTTTTTTTTTTTTTTTTTTTTATTTAACCTAGAAAGGGTACCACCTCTGGTGCAAGTGTAGGGACCCATAGCCTCGGAGAAGAAAATAAAGATTATATATATATATATATATATATATATATATATATATATATATATATATATATATATATATATATATATATATATATATATATATTTATACTGTATACATATAATATATATACAGTATCACAGAATTATGAGATTCAGTGATGTACATGGATGTTGAAAACAAGAATTAAGATAGGCATTGCTACAAAAATTATCAACTATATTGTATGGTAATGTTTGTTGAATGTTGTAGAACCCTAAAATGTTACATGCTTTGGAAATTGGATCTTGAAAAAGTGAATATACAGTACTGTTATTGTTATTTTTAATGTAGATTTAGGAAAGGATTTTATAGGAAGTTTATAGAAATGCTGTATGTAAGATTGTGTTCAAAAGGGCATACATAAATGAGAATAATTGACCCCATACAGTTTGGCTGGGCACAGGAAGATGTCCTGAAAAGCAGTACTGGAACACCTCTGTGCATATATATATATATATACAGTATATATATATATATATATGTCGTACCTAGTAGCCAGAACTCACTTCTCAGCCTACTATTCAAGGCCCGATTTGCCTAATAAGCCAAGTTTTCCTGAATTAATATATTTACTATAATTTTTTTCTTATGAAATGATAAAGCAACCCTTTTCTCTATGTATGAGGTCAATTTTTTTTTATTGGAGTTAAAATTAACGTAGATATATGACCGAACCTAACCAACCCTACCTAACCTAACCTAACCTATATTTATAGGTAAGGTTAGGTTAGGTAGCCAAAAAAAGCTAGGTTAGGTTAGGTTAGGTAGGTTAGGTAGACGAAAAAACATTAATTCATGAAAACTTGGCTTATAAGGCAAATCGGGCCTTGAATAGTAGGCTGAGAAGTGCGTTCTGGCTACTAGGTACGACATATATATATATATATATATATATATATATATATATATATATATATATATATATATATATATATATGTATATATGTATATATGTCGTACCTAATAGCCAGAACGCACTTGTCAGCCTACTATGCAAGGCCCGATTTGCCTAATAAGCCAAGTTTTCCTGAAGTAATATATTTTCTCTAATTTTTTTCTTATGAAATGATAAAGCTTCCCATTTCATTATGTATGAGGTCGATTTTTTTTATTGGAGTTAAAATTAACGTAGATATATGACCGAACCTAACCAACCCTACCTAACCTAACCTAACCTATCTTTATAGGTTAGGTTAGGTTAGGTAGCCAAAAAAGTTAGGGTAGGTTAGGTTAGGTAGGTTAGGTAGTCGAAAAACAATTAATTCATGAAAACTTGGCTTATTAGGCAAATCGGGCCTTGCATAGTAGGCTGACAAGTGCGTTCTGGCTACTAGGTACGACATATATATATATATATATATATATATATATATATATATATATATATATATATATATATATATATATATATATATATATATATATATATATATATATATATATATATATATATATATATGTCGTACCTAGTAGCCAGAACTCACTTCTCAGCCTACTATGCAAGGCCTGATTTGCCTAATAAGCCTAGTTTTCATGAATTAATGTTTTTTCGACAACCTAACCTACCTAACCTAACCTAACCTAACGTTTTCGGCTACCTAACCTAACCTAACCTATAGAGATAGGTTAGGTTAGGTTAGGTAGGGTTGGTTAGGTTCGGTCATATATCTACGTTAATTTTAACTCCAATAAAAAAAAATTGACCTCATACATAATGAAATGGGTAGCTCTATCATTTCATAAGAAAAGAATTAGAGAAAATATATTAATTCAGTAAAACTTGGCTTATTAGGCAAATCGGGCCTCGCATAGTAGGCTGAGAAGTGAGTTCTGGCTACTAGGTACGACATATATATATATATATATATATATATATATATATATATATATATATATATATATATGTCGTACCTAGTAGCCAGAACTCACTTTTCAGCCTACAATGCAAGGCCCGATTTGCCTAATAAGCCAAGTTTTCATGAATTAATATATTTTCTCTAATTTTTTACTTATGAAATGATAAAGCAACCCATATCATTATGTAAGAGGTCAATTTTTTTTTATTGGAGTTAAAATTAACGTAGATATATGACCGAACCTAACCAACCCTACCTAACCTAACCTAACCTATCTTTATAGGTTAGGTTTGGTTAGGTAGCCGAAAAAGTTAGGTTAGGTTAGGTTAGGTAGGTTAGGTGGTCGAAAAGCAATTAATTCATGAAAACTTGGCTTATTAGGCAAATCGGGCCTTGCATAATAGGCTCAGAAGTGAGTTCTGGCTACTAGGTACGACATATATATATATATATATATATATATATATATATATATATATATATATATATATATATATATATATATATATATATATATATATATATATAAAGTACCTAAGATAAGTGTGAATGACATGATGTGAAATATTAAACTGTGTTAATACAGTGGTAAGAAAATCAGACACTAGGTGCTGTAGAATTATTAATACTATGTGGCATATATAGCACAGTCTATTCTTTAAGGTTGTCCTTCATGGTTAAAGTTTTAAACAGAACAGGCCTTTGCTTGTTGCAGCATTTAAACATATTGATATTGCTTATTGACATATTCTATTAATGTTAAAGGCCTTTAAGTTTAATGCAAATTTAGGCAACAATATTGCTCACAGTATTACAGTCAGTTTGTTCTCAGTATCTTTGTTGTTGGTTATTTTTCCCTAAAACCTTAAAATGAGCCATAATTACAGCATTATGTATTTACAGTTTATTAATTGTGTAATGTGTAAGACTGCAAAGCAGTCTGTTAAACAAAATAAAATCTTGTTGAGAGTGATCTTTTAGTTTAGAGTAAGGAGTATGTTGCAAGTAAAGAGAAGTTATGTGAAGCATCAGATGTTCAGGTTGTCTGGTGTGATACCATCTTAAGTCTGGCATAGAGTGTATAACAACAAGGTATTAAATTTTATAATACAGGAAGATTCAGTCACTATTTGGATGTTTCCTCTCATGTGATGGAATGTACCTGGAAGCTGTTATAAGCTTCCCTGTTGAAGTTCATATGAATGTTTAAAATTAAGCCTGTAAGATATGTGTTCAGTATTAGGTAAAAATGAATAAATATATATGGGAGACAATCTGAATGAATGTTAAGTGTTTGTCATGTATATAATCAGATTTATTAAACCTGTGATCCATATTTGTGACACGAGATTAGCAAGTCTATGCATGTCTTATTCATCCATAAGGTTTATTTTCTCCTTTTAAAGAGTACCTTATTGATAAAGACTCGCTGTATTGTGATCTCAGTCTTGTATTTTAATATGAAAGTTATATGATTCTGTATAGAGAGAATATAATTATATACTGTAGTTGTAGATATTTTGGTAGCTCCATTATGTAATCTTAGAAGTCATAAAACAACAGCATAAATCAGAGGTTGCTCAATTTAGCTTTGCTTAACCTGGATCAATGAACTACACAATTTAACAATTGCACTTCATCGTATTTTTTTTTTATTTTAGTTTACAATTATTGTATCTGAACCATTTTGTTAAGTGGGTTGTCTGGGTATGGTTACCACTTGCACACTTTTTTTTTTTTTTTTTTCTTCAACACCACAAACTTTTATACTATGCACAGTTATTTTGTACAAGTTTACCTATCTCAAAACACAATGTAGGCAAACAGGGCTTAATACTGTGCACTACTTACTGTATCAAGCATTGCTGGGCACTTGGTGGCCAAAAGCTGGGGGATGATGGTTTAGAAGACATTTTCCTGAAACAGTGTAAGGAAACTCTTTCCCTTAATTTTTTACATGCTAATGATTGCTTCCCATTGTCTGATATAATGATTAATATTAAATAAAGCTACAAGAATGTGTATTTAAATTAATAAAAAATATAAATAAATGAAGATGAATATGTGATAGCATTTACATGGATATGCATCTTTTAACCCTTAATCTTCACCAATCGCCCTGCAGTGATTGGGTAGGTTGTTCATATCATCTGGAGATTATTTCGCATAGCCCAGATTGCTGACAAGTCATGGTGGATGTTTGGTAACATCCCATTCCTACTTGACTGGCAACAGTCTGCATTATTGGAAAAAAAAAAAATACCCATATTTCCTTCTTTGGCATTAGCAAACTGATGCACACCATATCTGGTGCACCATCTTCCAGTCAGTGATCAAACAAGGGACCAGTAATACCATACAAAATTGCAAGGACTTTGCAGGAACTGGAGGTAACTTTACATAGTCTTCCTGGCATTGATACCTACTTTTCAGGAACTGGAAGATCGTTGTGATGAAGAGTATATTACAAATAATTAATTTGTATATTATCCATCAGAAGATGTAATAAGCTGGTCTAACAGAAAGGAAGTAAGTCTCAGAAGTATGGAGATGGTGACTTGACATAATGCTGTGTCAATGATGCTCGTATTTTAAGTCGCCAGTTGCATTATATTGGATGCTACAATATCTGATTTTCCTGAAAATGATAGTGATCTTGGTGTTAATGGGGGTTGGTTCGGGGGTAATAATGCAAGTGGAGATTTTATACGTTGTTGATTACAGCACGGCCTACTACATGTTGGAAAGTGAGCAAGGTCCTAAAGTAAATGCATTGTGTGCAAAACAACAAAACATATTGATTAGAAATGCATATTGACTGTGTCTTGGTGTTAGTAGTATGCATGGTGTTTCATTGCTCATTATTGTTTCAGACTACCCCCCTTCCCCTTCAGATCTTTTGAAAATGGCAAATCAGTGATATCCATGTATATAGTAGCGTGTAAAATGTGTGTGATATGCAATTACTGTACTGTACTAGACTTGACTCGTATAAATATTGATGTCTATGAATGTAGGATGCTAGTGAAGAGATTCATTTATTTAGTTGGAATAGTGATATGTATACATTGGCTGATCCATCCTTTAGTTGTCTCCACAGCTGATTAAACATATGCAATTAGGTCAACATACAGTATATCAAAAACATTTTTTAATGTGTGTGTACTGCTCAGCACAGTGAATCTTCAATTTGCACAAGTGATGCTTTTATGAAGAACTTCATGCAAATTATTGTTGTGCAAATCAAGATGATTACAATATCTTGAATGCCTTACTGTTTCATAGTACTGTAATTTCAAACGTAAAATGAATAATATAGCAATACCGTACAGTATAGCAACTTTAAACAAAATTTCCTTATAACACCTTGAGAATGTTTCACAAATATTAATTTAATTGAGTTATATTCATTGCTTTATTGATTTAAAGCCTATAACCCCTATACAGTATAGTATTATAATATAACTAGGCTTTCCTTTCTAAAGCTTAACTGAGCTATTTGGTTAAATGGAAACTACAGTTTTTATTTGTATGTTTTTCATGTTAAAATAGAAAGGGATGAGCCCAGTTTGGTCGCATAAAAATACCCCCCATCCAGCACCTTGTCTCCAATCACCCCTTTTCCTCATTCCTCTAATTTCATCCCACACATATGTAATCACATCAACATGTCAATTTCAGAATTGTTTTCAATTTGGTGGATAGAGAAATGGTTTAAAACAATTTACACTATGTGAAACTCAAATCAGAATACAGTATGCAGCTGTTGTGTGGTATCCATATCTCAAAAAATGTCAGTAAATTGGAAAATGTGCAAATGTGTCGCTAAATTGGTTTCAGACCTAAAACATAATATCTATGGGTTCCCCCCCCTTTTTGCAAACCAAATTGTAGACAAAAACTACTAGACACTTCAAAATGTTATAACAAAGATTATAGGGAAGACTGGGCAGCGTGAGTGTAGCTCTCAGCTCATTCCATAGGACTGGGCACCAATCCATAACTGCTCACCCAGCAGGAATTGAGGTTGTAAATCAATTGGTGGGTCACGTTCCAGATAAAACTAGTAGGCCAAGGCATAATATGAGTAATTGTAAGGGAAAGCTATAAAGCTGCTGACATGAGTCGGAAGTTGACTTCTGTATCCACCTGTGTAAAAAAAAAAAAAAAAAAAAAAAAAAAAAATCTGGGGGGGCTTATTATAATTTTTGGAGGAAGGGAAATGCAGTACTGTATATGTAGGATATCACTTAAAGTAATCTACAAGTGCTTCAATTAAGAGCAAGTAGACAGCCAAAAAAAACAATTACAAGATCAAAAGAGAAAAGGTAATCTTGTAAGAATTTAATGCAATAGTTCACATGGTAAAAGGGTTGTGTGACCTGTGAGC